GATGTAAGGTGGGTGACATTTCAGAATAACGAAGGTTTTGGAGTTTATGCTTCTATATATGGTGGTTCTCCACCTATGCAAATGAATGCAAGTTACTACTCCACTGCTGAGCTTGACCGTGCAACACGCAAAGAAGAACTTATCAAAGGAGACAATATTGAGGCAAGTGTTTCTCGAAAATTTGGTTTTCTTCAAATTAATTTTTTCATTTTGAAAGTTTCTACATGAATTATCCTGAAAAAGAATAGACTATCTAGTATCTGAGGATCAATTTAACTTTCTATTTAGAAATTTTTTTTTTTTGTTTAATATCCATTTGGAAAGATGCCTAGTAGAGAGCAGAGGGCTTTAGGCCAAGAGCAGACTTCACAAATTTGGATCTTATATATGCTGGTTTTCTTTCTAATACTATATAAAGCGTCATTACCCAGTTGTGGTCTGGCTACAGCATGCTTTGAGACGAGAGTTCAATTGATTTGTTTAAGATTATTTCACCATCCTATCTTTTTGCTAACAAGAATTTTTATTATGAACTTGTACAACTTGAGGTGGCCACTCTACTGAATACTGGAGTAAAGGTGGCACAATTTATTTACCATAAGCTCTTATCGAATTTGTACAACAATGGCATGGTTTTCCAAAGAATCACCTTTTTTTTTTTTTGTGGCAAACTGCATATGCAACCTACCATCACTGTTCTTGTATCGCCTTTGCATTTAGATACATCTGTAGCTTGATCAAACATTTAAAGTTGACAAATTTCACCTTGTCACGCTGATGCATGCATGTAGCTGGATCCTGATTTAATTGGGGATAACCAAAAATCCACCTAACTTTATGTTGCTTCCGCTTGTGAGGAAAAATGAATTTCAAATGAGCAAAAGATGGAGCAGATGCAACAAAAAGTTAATGAGGCTGCCTTTTCATTAAAGCTGAAATTATACTTGCTGGACAACCTAATTTAGGCTCGTTAATTTTGTTGAGTATATGATTTGAAAGTCTTGTAAAACATGGATTTGAGGGGAGAGATGGTAAAAAGGTAGCTCATAATGGCATCCTCTCAGCACTCTTTATTCAATACAAGGTTCTTGCAATCGTACTGGAACACTCAAATATTTGGGCATATCATTGTAAAAATATGCTTATGTATTAGCAAGTCCAGAATGTCTCTTGAGGTTGGAAGGCGCAACTTTGAAAGGGTTAAAAACCCAACTTCCCAATTGAAAGAAAAGGTAGCTGATCTTGATGGAAGGATTTTCTGTAAGATTAATCCAATCCAAAAGCTTGCTAACTTTCCCATTGTCTGAAAACCTTTGTAGAAGTGATTTGCCTTAAAGTAACCTTACTCCAGCTGGCAAGTGGCTGGAGAGATTTCCAAGGGAACCTTATAACCCATTGAATTTGGTGACCAATAATCAAATATGATTCCCACCCAAATGTTGAGATGCTGGACCTGGAGAAAGGGATTCCTACCAGGTAGCAGCCTTTTTCATCCTCCGTTTTGCTCCAGTGATTGAGTCCCTTGATGCTGAGATAGCCCCATTATATATTGTTTTCTCTTCTTTTACTGTCCTTTGTCACATGTAATTTCTGCTCTCTCTGTAGGGATGTTCATAGCATCCCTCTCATATTTTTTATTTTCTTGAAGATGCTTAAATTTCTCTTTTTCAAATTGTTTACTCCCCTAAACCTGACGCAAATTTCTAATAGATCCCCCTTCAAAGCCTTGTGTGTTTATTTGACCATATTGTCACTCTTTTCTTTATTTCCACAGTGTAACCCAAATTTAATACTCTCACTTGGCCGGTAGCTTATGAGAGAGTTAAAACAGAATATATGTTTCAAAAAGAGGAAATATTGATCTCTAACCAATTGTGTTTTTTCTGTATGGAAATTGGGAAATCTGGTCACAATTCTTCCCTTCATTGCGAGTTTGCTTCCAGTTTTTGGTAACACCAGGACTTCCTTTTTATCCTAGCTTTGGGGCCATAGAGGATAATGACTTCAGTAGTGTGTCCTAATTGCTACTATATAATCGTTTGGGGGAAAAGAATGGATGCATGTCAAGCGAAAAAATAGAAATTACAATGCATTAAGCGTCCGCACAACAGTATTTTGGATGTATTCCTATATGCCTTGTCCTTCAAGTTTGGAGAGAATTACTACCATCCTCCCCACGATTATGTTGTGTGGTTTTTGGAACCTAGAAAGTTGTTATAGCTAAATTTTGATGGTGGTTCTCTAAGAAATCCAGGACCTTAGTACGAGGATGCATGAAGAGGGAAACATCTTTGGTTCTTTTGGACCTTCATAATTTGTGAAGTTGTGGCCTGAATTTTGTTTCAGCCCGGGTCGCAACATGAACCGATTTTAACCCCAAAAAGGGTTTTGACCCATTTTTATCATGCGGTTCTTGGACCCTGTTTAATACTCTTCTAGCCCGGTATATAAGGGCATTTAGGGTTTGGAGTGGGATAACGAGAGCGCTAAAAACCGTAGGAAAGAGAGTGATAGTGAGAACTTGGGTTTAGGGGCTGAAACTTGTAATCTCTTAATTTTCGCATAGTAAAATCTTTCGCCAGATCTTCACATTGGACGTAGACTTTGCTGAACCACATAAATCTTTGTCATCTTTGTGTGTGTCGTGTTAACTTTTCTGTTGTGATTCTTGATTTGTTCTTGGATTGCGGGGTTTGTCGTAACATATTTGTAATACAGTCTAGGCAGAGGTGGAGAGTTATGAATGGACCTTATGTAGTTTCATTTTAGGTCCTTTAAAGTTGGAAGAAGATAAAGCTATCGCCAGGTGCTCTAAGTTCTGTACCACCTGTCATCTTTTATAAAAGAAGCCATGGATATTTTGAACGTGCTGGTTGTTCCTTCATATGGTTACCTACATAAGCCAACTCTGTAGTGGAATCATAAGCTAAAAGAATAGCAACTTTAAATTATAATTCTACACTAATGGCTTATAATTGTGATGATTATTGCTAGTTTCAGGTTCTTTATTTTGTATCTCAGGATATGTTTTATTTTCCAAGGGAAACCATATATATATATATATATTATACTTCTCATTCTTGCTTGAAAGTCTTCACCTTTTCCTTTAGTTTCATTCCTTATCAAGCTTTTGACACTATTTCAATGCTCCTGTTGGCTTTTCTTTGGTTGTTAGGGTTGTCGGTTGTTTCAGTACTGTTTGTTCCATGGTCTAGTTTTCTTTATTTCTTTTTCTTGTCATCTAGTTGTGCCCTCCATTTTTCTGTGTGACCAAGGTATATTGTCATTGTGATGTTGCAGGTGCATCTTGACCACAAGCACATGGGTGTGGGCGGAGATGATAGCTGGTCCCCATGTGTCCACGAGAAATATCTGATTTCTGCTGTGCCATATTCATTTGCTATTAGGCTGTGTCCAATCACTGCAGCCACCTCTTGCCATGACATCTACAAATCACAGCTATAGAAGAACAACGGCATCATATGTACGAGCCTTGTATCTGCACATTATCTATTGTTCTCGTGTTGTTTTCTATAACTATCGACTAGAAGTAGATGAACCACATACTTGAGTGGGCAATAAAATGTTCGGGGTAACTGAGACTGTATGACTGGAATGTACTGAAGAATGAGTAGAATATGTGAATTACAAAATATAACGTTTTCCCGAATCATGTTTGGTTTTGCTTTCTATTTATTGATCTATTTATTTTTTGATAGGCCTGCAAGAACTTCATTACAAAACCATGTTTTCTTGACAATCAGGAAAACTTGTTTTTGGTGATCAGTTCAATCAATCTTGCCCCACTTAAGGTGCCAAACCAGAAACATGATGTTCTTTTAAAATGTATTTTCATTTGGTAGCTGGAAAAGTTATTCTAGGCTGGTTGAGTTGCTCTATTACTTTGCAGCTTTTTGTGGTGTGACTCAACACCATTCAATAGGGGGCTTCTTGCAAGGCTGTCTTGTATGGTAGTGTATTTGTTAGGATGATTGATGGTTGCATTTGGATAACTTTGTGGTTGCTTTTGATTGTATTAGGATGACTGAAATTATAAAGACAGGTGTGTTATAAAGTATTTATTTATTTATTTATTTTTACCTCGGCAAGAAATATATTTACACTCACCTTGCTCCTATGGGGACCTGAAGGCCATGAAGCTATAACCTAGCCCTTGGTGGAGTTATAAAGACTGAAATTATACATGGACAACATTTTTTGAATTTACCTACTTGGTGAAGTGGTTAATAAAAGTTAATATTCAAATTTTACATAATTCTTTTTTAATTTGTTAATTAATTCATAATCAGTATTTTCCGTCAACAAAACAATCAATAAGAAAGAAAAATTACCAATTGTGTATTAACTTTCATCTCATTTTCATATCTGATACAATTAGATGAATCCTTCAAGTGGGGTACTGGCCATCTTGCCAAGAAGTGGGAAATTAGGACAACATATCAAATTTGTTGATTTTTTTTTTTTTAAAGTAAATATAAAAATTATATTTCACGAGGAAACTCATATGCAAATGCAATAAGAAGTATAAAATTTTCATTACTGTACTAATTAATTTATGTCTTTTAAATTACTATAAAGTTTCACTTCACTTCTATTGTCTTTTCTCGCTACCACAGGTCATTAAATATTTTCTAAATAGACACATTAACTTCATTTAGATGCTTTATAAATTCTTATTTAAAAAATTATTTATGCTTTATTTACTAATTAAAAAAATTGGTCACACACATTTCAAGTGATTTTCACTACTATTTAAATCTCGATCTTTAGTAAATATTAGTTATACAAGTCATGCTACGCTATTGATATGTTAACCAATAAAAATACATTATTGTATGAAATTAGTCCCACCTATATTTGAAAATTACTGTCAAATTACTAAATTGATTTTCGTTAGCAGAGTATACTAATGACAAGATGTGCTCCGTGCACCAAATATTTACTCATTCTAAATCTTATTTTATTTTATTTTATAATATGACAAGAAATATCTTCACACACCAAACCTTGACTTTAAAAATTGTAAGATGAAAATACCTTCTTCAATACGAGGTGTTATACTAAACTGATGCCGTTTTCACCGACTCTTGTTTACACTCTGATTCGTGTGACCTAAATTTTGTCATTTTTGGATATTTTGTATTATGAATCACAATTCACATTTTTTTTTGTTTTTTGGGAAAGACAATTCACATTTTATTTGTTTATTTAACATATTATTGAATTCGAATTAGTAGTTTAAATATTTATCAAATTCGTTCCGATCAATTTGGCGGGCTAAGACAAACTATGATGAGCAAATCGCTCAACGAATGATGGCGTGGCAAGTTGGGATAAACTCGAGATCTTCTTGCAAACATCGTCAATAATCTATCCCTGTTTCGATTGATCCACTTCAACAGCTCCAAGTCTACTGGTATGTATGTACTCACTACTCTCTCTCTCTCTCTCTCTCTAAATTATTTCATTTGTTTTTAATCTGTTAGGTTTTGATAATTTTGTTCAAAATTGATTACATATGGCATTGCGAAAACAATTATTGATGTTAGCCAGAACTATTGAGGGGCATATTTGATGTACGGATAGTATTCTTATTGATATATCTTTAATTTTACCACTCATTTTTTCAGTTGGATATTATATAGAATTGTGTTGCTTAACATTTTTTAAAGTTGTTGCATGGATGTTGCATTTTGTGATGTAACTGTGTTGCATTGATGTAGCTCTGTGCACAGGATCGGGGTCTACAGACACAGACAAAAATTAGAGTAGTTAATATGTATAGATGAGAAAATTGGAATAATTTAAATGTGTTTGTGACTTAGCTTCTAATATTGCTCAATTGCCATTAACTTAGAACCCAATGATGGATCCCACTTATATGCTCAATTGCATGACTTGAATTTGGGTACAGACAGTTGGAGGCATCCACACATATAACTCTCATCAACCTCTCCACCCTAGGCGATGTGGGAAGTCACAATCACCCCCTATTGGGACCCAACATCCTCACTAGCCTGACCCTCATGGGTTTGTGCACGCTTCTCCCATTTTAGGCTGGGGATTGGCTGTGATACCATCTGTCACAGCTGACCCAACCCTGTATAGATATTATTCACTTTGCACATTCTCCTCTCGGTACTCACTCTTTTCCTCAAAACACATCTATACAGTTGGGGGCATTCCCACATATAAGTCTCATCAACCTCTCCCCCTCATATACAGAATTTCTTAAAGCCAAATTTATCTGTATCGGCATTGGGAAAGTTTTAGGTCTCTTTTATACAATCAAATGCATAAAAAAATATTAATAATAATAAAATAAAATAAAATAAAAAAATCAGCTTGATTAGTTTTTTTGTAATGATTTGAATTCATTTGAAGGATTAAGCTGTTCGAGGGATTCTAATACAATGAATGTGATAATTGGATGATCAAAAGACTCGGAACTTATCCAAAAATGCAATGACCTTACGCTTTGCTATTTATAGACTCAAAGCTTCACATCTAAAATCTAATACCTTGTGATAGTCTTTGTTATCCGCAAAGAATAATGGACAACCACCTTCACTTACAATGGCCTAACCCCTTTTTCCTACTGATAGAAAATTTGTCAAAAATATACCTTTCAATGAAAGACCCTGAAATAATCTTCTCCATCATGGTGTACCCCAAACGCTCATCAGATTCACGTGAAATTAAGTTCCTGTCATTATTTTTTTCTTTCTTTTACTTACCTTTGTCAAGCATATGATATAATACTGCACAGCTGAGGTTCTATGACCTTGTAAAGATGAAGTTTATATCAGTTTTGGTAACACATTAACATTCCAATATAAAAAAATCTCTTTTACTTAATTGTGAATGTTAAACTATCATATATGGATGCCCCTGCGGCCCTGCCAAAATAATCATGTATATATCTGATCCCCCTTTAGGCCATTGCCAAGGGCCCTACTTAAAAAAGCCCTATCATATTTAATATTAATCTCATTTTAGTTTTTTTTAGGCCATTTCCGTAAAAAAAAAAAAATTGAATTTAAATTAACATTTCCAATTCTTAAATTTTTAACTTTCTACGTGAGTTAGATCTCTTTTCTTATAAATTTCATTTTTATTTTACAGTTCTTAAAATTTGTTATTACCTTTTCTTCTTCTAAAACTTTGTCTTACTATTTGTGTGATTATGTCGGAAACCTAATATTTCATTTCTCAAATCATATGTTCTGTGAAGGTTTGTATTTGAAAATTGCTCCAAATAATCAAAGGCAAACCCGAAACTGACTAAAAATGAAAAATAATGGGCCAAAAGCAATGCTATAACTTGAAAAATTTCGTCGGAAATTTAATTGGAATCCTATATATTTTGCCTTGGGCCTCGAGTTGTATTGAGTCAACCTTGCTTTTAATATGCTGTTATATGTAACAAACATGTATTGTTTTTAGTGGAAAATTAGAAAATAGATTCTGACTTATCTGATATGCAGAGATATGCCATTGATATGTTTGGATAATTTAGAAAAATGTGGCACGATGTGCAGGATGAAGATTTGGATTTATAACTAGAAATCTTACTTCAAAAAACAAATATGCAGGTTTTTGTCTTAAATTCTTAATATAAATGGGGAGATGGAGGTTATCTATTAGTGATAATTGTGAGAAGTTTCCAATGTCAACAATAAATGGTGACAATAAAATTTTTGAGTGCAATCCCATTTGGCACAATATAGTTAGTTGTTTTTGAATGAGTAAAATGTGATTGTGAACAACTTAGATATCCATTGCCCAAACCCCAAGGACTTGCAATTTCCCAAATGGAGGTCAACACTCGGCAGCGTCATAATTATCATACTGAATATAATATACAATTATTTTCTAGCCATGCTAGCGAAAAACACAATTTTCAACTGTGTCATTTGTTTCAAGGGAATTTATAATCCCACTAAACAATAATGAAATTGTGCTTTATTCTGGTGTGACAATCTAAATGTATATCATAAGTTGTCTTACTCACATATCTGCACAAGCATATACTTAGAAACTAAGGATTGTATATGTATATGTATATGTACACTTACAATCTAATGACTCCACTCCTACTGCAATACTCACTTCATCTACAAAGCTTTACTCCTCCGGTTTTTTTTTTTTAATTATCTTTTTTATGGCAAAATAAAGCTTTTCTTAATATTCAAGATTCAATTGTCAAATGTTAGTATATGTTCAAGAAGTGTCGGGTATGTAGCCGAATTCAAGAATATTATTATCAGTTTATGGACACATTGAAGATGTATCAAACATTTATTCGTGAGTATCCGAGAAGTGTCATTGTTCAACTTGTCTCCAATGCAGACATGATTCCTTAGAAGTGTTTGTGCTTCTTATCAATGGCTCATGTGGTTTTATGAAACATTCATGCATGCACTTTATATTTTTATTATGCACATTTATAAATAACTATATATAAATTATATATAGGGGTCATTGCATGGTGCAATGACAAAGTTTGGGATGACCAGTATGAAAACTTAAGTTTGAGTGTAAGAGTAGCCACTTAAAACAAAATAATGCCAAATGTTATGTATGCCTCCAATCTGGCCCATCTCATATAGTCAGGACCAGCATTGGGTGATAACCTTATATATAATATTATATTAATATGCATGTGCTAGTTGTGAATATATCTGATTGTTAGGCTTATCATTTCCCAGCTAAACTATGGGCCTATTGTAGTGCAGTTGGAACTTTTTATCTGGTGATGGCCTCTTTGGTTGATCAATTTGTTATCCCCTCAAATAATGGATATAGGGTTTGGGAAGATCCTTCCTTTCTCAAGTGGAGGAAGAGAGATGCTCATGTTTCACTGCACTGCCATGATACAGTTGAAGGTAAGAAACTAAGAATCTATTTTCTTAATCCATGTCAGTTTTTTTTTTTTTTTTTGTTTCTTCTGGAAATGGCAAACCCTCAACCCCCCCCCCCCGCGAAAAAAAAAATCCCTTTTAAGTCCATATTTCCTCAACTCTATCTCGGAATGTTGGATTCTGGTGGTTACAGAGTTCTCTGTCTTTACTCCTATTGATTGGTTGGAAGTGACATCCAATGAAGCCAAGAAATCTTATATTTTTGTAAATAAAAGGATTTGCTTGATTTAGGTCTGCTCCACTATTATTAAGTTTTAATAACTACTACTATTGGCCCATCTCCACGCGAAGGATTCTATGCCAACTGGCACTCATGTAGATTACTAAGGGGGTTTATTTAGACACATTCTGGAAGGGACAGCAATATTGTAAGTGGTCCTTTCATATCCAGGTAAAGAAGACTTTTCAGAGTGTCTTAGTGGCCTTCTTTCAGCCTAGCTAATTATAGAAGGTTGATATAGGGCTATTTATTTTGTTGCACTTTAATTATTTACAGTTTGGTTTAGTTATTTTGGGTGGATGATGCAGTATCAGTCCTTGTATGGAATTTTATGTACTCTATGAATATTATGTTTTACACCTGCTGTATTAAGATCTTTCCTCATATATCTAAATACTTATAGCTAAATGCTTCTTATTAACCATATCTTCTAACTATTAACCTAACATAGTGTCATACACCTGCTGTATTAAGATCCTTCCTCGTATATCTAGATGCCTATAGCTAAATGCTTCTTATTAGCCATATCTTCTAACTATTAACCTAACATAGTCTCATATTCAATTTATGAAAATCTGATTCTGTTGTTTGTGGATAGGATCTCTTAAATACTGGTACGAACGCAACAAAGTGGATCTTCTGATATCTAATTCAGCTGTTTGGGATGATGATGCTGTTTCTGTTTCTCTTGATTGCGCTGCTTTTTGGGTCAAGGGTTTGCCTTTTGTTAAGTCTTTATCTGGCTATTGGAAATTTTTGTTGGCTCCAAGACCTACCGAAGTCCCTTTGAATTTCTATGATAGTGAGTTTCAGGATTCTGTATGGGAAACCTTACCAGGTAAGCATACTATCTTTTACCCTTCACTTTTATACTATTGGTTTTTGTCCCCAATAACTTATACTGTATGAACCTTACACAGATTCTTGATCACTTAAATCATTTTTGTCCACTTTGTACCTTGTTTCTATTGTCAAGGACAGAAAAGAATGGGTAATGAAGTTCTTAAATTTTGGAATGGTTCTTAAATTCTGAACTTTCACATGGAAGTACCTGATGTATCTGCACAAAAAAAAAAAATTGGAAAAAAAAAAAAGAAAAAAAAAAAAAGAAAGAAAGAAAAACGGAATCTATTGCATCTACAATAAATTGGGTTTATAATTCTGAAGTAAATTGCGGGAGAAATTGGCTGGCAGAATCTATTGCATCTACAATGGATTACAAATTATTTGGGTTTCAAATGGGCTAACGGAATTTTTTTTTGTTTCAATTATTTATTTATTTGTTCATTGGGATTTTAATTTTCTGGCAAAGAGCAACATTGTTAGGTTGGTGATGGAATTCCTGATAACCGCATGGTCGACATACTTACTAGAGGGGTAGGCATAGACGATGATTTTAGGATTTATTTTATATTTTATTTTCCTTATTTCTCCAGGTGTTTTTTTTTTTGGGTAGAGTCTTGTTAAGGTTTGTATACAACCAGAATAAAAGAAGAAGAGAAGAAATCGTATATGCTGTTATTCAATGGTTGTGAGTATTACAGAATATCGAAATACAAAAAAGAGACTAATAATAAGAAATAAATCCTAACTAAAATAAAGGAAAAGACAAAGGTACCCTTAACAAATATGAAAAGTACAAAATAACAACTCTCTTGACAAGTTTGACTAGGATTCTACTTTAATGCTTATATTTATATGGCTTGTGACATTGAGCAGACTCTTGATGATTATTGAATTTTGGTATCAAAGTTGCCCTACCTGTGCTGCATCAGTTGGGTTTGGTTTTACCAGATGATATTCACTATATATGTGAATCTCTGTTGTAATATTTTTTACTTGAAAGGGAAGAATAATTGATCTGTATGTTATTTTATTTACTATCACTTCCAGGTGTTCCCTTTTTTCTTTTTCTTTTTTTTTTTTTTTTTTTTCTATATTACTTGTGATCACCTTTTTTTTTCCCTTGGTTCCACAATGTCATTGTGTTTCTTCTTTCAGTTATTTTGTTTCCCAATGTTCTTCTCAAGTTGACATGTTCTCCTTCCTATTTTTGTAGTTTCAGAACATTTTTGTTCTGATCCAGCTTTTGAGTTTAGGTTTAGATTGTTTCTCTGCAAAATAGGGATAATTCTTAATGCAGTTAAAGAGTATGATAACCGTTTTCTTCTCCTATGATTGCATTTAATAATATATTTTCTTAAGAAATTTTGGTATTGCTTTAAGTAGAAAAGGATCAATGTTGAATTAGTATCAACTTTCAATTTTTTGACGTGTCATAAGAGATTTGTATCCTTCAACTGAACATATTTTCTTAAAGCCAGCTGCTTTAATGCCTTGGAATGTGACGGTCCTTCTAATCTCAATGAGATATGTATCACTGAACCTCAAGGTTTAGGGTACAGTTTTATTTGTCAAGTGCTTAAATTCAGAATCCTCCAGCTAATTCTTTTTGTTTAAGTACTTTGTGTTCTCCATTCTCACATTGTGGTATTTATCTTAGAAATTGAGGCATGTGGATTGTGAATTTCTTTGATGGGAGCAGTTTTAATGTTCCAGTTATTGTTTTCTCCATCTCTCTAATATATTTTTCTTGTAAGTTGTTGAGTATTCAAACAAGTACACTATAATTGGCACCAAAGGTTTCCTCTTAATGATTTTTTTCTTTCTTTTCCATCATAGTATTTTAAGTTTTAGAGCATTATAAAGTAAATCAGATTATTATTTATTTGTTTATTTATTTTTATTTTCTTCTTAAAGTTTGTTTTGAAATGTCTAATTATTGCAAGTTCTCCTACTTCTACCTCTTATATTAAATTTTTTTTCTATCTCAAACAGTTCCTTCCAATTGGCAGATGCATGGATTTGATCGGCCTATCTATATAAATGGTGGATATCTATTTCCAATTGATCCACCTAATGTTCCTGTGGATAATCCTACCGGCTGTTACAGGACATGCTTTCATCTTCCAGAAGAATGGAAAGGTTTGATTTATTTGATTATGCTGGTAGTTGTAGCCGATACTGAAATTATCTCTCATAAATCTTACTTCAATGCTTCTGCAAATAGATTGATTTTCATATGGACTCTGTCTATCAAAACTATAAAAAATATTAAGCCTGTAATTATTAGGTCATAATAAGATTTCTATCAGAATCCTAATTGCTGACAGAAAAGATTGTTAGCTCTGCAAAAATTTGTATGTGATATTTTGTACCAATGTTAGTAACGCAACTGTTACAAATTGTGTATCACTGTGTTTAATGCATCTTCATTTTCAGAATCTTTACCTGGACTTTAGCTTTGACAAGTGTACCCATTATGCTTTTTCAAAGACAGATCTGGGTGTCTCACTGGGTACTACATTACACGTATATCACCTCCTAGATCAAACCTTTCCCAGTAGCAAGCAGTAATGAGTGATGCAAATAATTAATGGTGTTTTAGGAAGTGGCTTGAAAAAGTCAACGAGTCATTCTTGTTTATGGGTACTAAGTAATTAAGCTTTGGAATTATTAAGTCTTTACTTAGGGAAGTGATAATGCTGTGTGGGGATTTTAAAAGTCATTCTAGTAGAAATCAAGAGTCATTGGTAGTTATATTATATAAAGGACAACCCTCTCTCTAATGTAACTAGTCTTTATCAATCTAATTTTGAAATATTTTCAGATTATTAACGTCTCTTTAATAAGGCTTTTCTCTGATTTCCCTTCATAAATCTAAGCTCGAACAGTAATTGGAGTAATTCTAGTCCATCTTACTACTGCAAGAGGACTTTCTTTTCTTTTTGTTTGCTTCAATGCCACATTAATCATTATGTAATTTTTATAACAAGAAAACTGGAGTTTCTTGCTAAACAGAAGGGGTCGGATAGTTAAATTAAAAAATAAAAAATTATAGTCTACTAGACGATAGATCTCCTTAAAAAAATAATATTTGAAAAGACTCCTAGTATGACTGATGACACATATATATTAAATGACTTGTTGGCTTCTCATGGTAGCCAACAGCTGGGTCCATCACTTGGTTGCAAGAGGTGTTGTGTTTTACATCTAAAATCTATGGTGTACAATATAACAATATTTTATCTAGTATCATGATATCTGATTCAATGATTTACTTATCAATATATATCATTGTTTCAATGATCTTTAATGCTCTCTCTCTCTCTCTCTCTCTCTCACACACACACACACACACAAGCACAAATTTGAACACAAGAATAGATTTTTATCAGTTTTGAAAGCTCATATTTGATGGTAAATAAAACCATTATAGATAATGCTTGCATTTTTAGCTTTTCCCTCGGTGTTTTGTGGCCCTATATATTTTCATCTTCCATTATTGTGAAATGTTGTCTCAAATATTTCTCTGGCAGTACAATTAATAACCAATTGGATCTTGACAGGTCGTAGGATTTTTTTACACTTTGAAGCTGTTGATTCCGCTTTCCATGCATGGATAAATGGGATTCCTGTTGGATATAGGTTTGTCATGCCTAAATTTAAGTGAACTTCTGTAAATTATTTGATTAGATGGATCTGAGCCTTTTTATTTTTCTAACTCTAGTTGGTGCATATTATTTATTTTAGTCTTGGTGAAAAAATAGCTGTTTCAACGGCAATTATGCATAATTTCAAAGGAAGATATAACTCATTTAGGTAAATTAATTGAAATTGAAAGCAGTTAAGCAAGAAAAGGAGATTTTTATCTCTCATACTTTTATGAACTCAAAAGGCTAAACGAAACTGCTTCTAAACTTTATAAAAAAATAACGATATATGCAGCAGAATAGGATGTACAGATATGAACTATGGGACACTCAGTTGGAATGTAGGTATCAATCATGACACTCAGTTGAAATATAGATATCAATCATGTAACAAATAGAATGGTTGAAATATCCATACATAGACAAAGCACTTATAATGGTCTTTCATTTGTTCTTAGTGAAAAAGACGAAATCTAAGTGTCAAATGGAACAGTGCTTATGATAGAATATGGTAAACGTATACCTTTAGAATTTAAAGGTAAGTTTTATAAATAAAAAAAATAGATCAGCCATACTTTATGAGATAGAACTTTGGGCAGCTGAAAAACAACATATTGTGTTACCAAAATGCGATGTTGAGATGGATGTGTGGTAAGATTAGAAAGGATGAAATTAGAAACAAATACATCCGTGTAACAGTTGAAGTGCACGCATAAAGATAAAATGAGTGAAAGTGGATAAAAATGGTTTAGTCATGTGCAGCGAAGACCATACTTGTAACAACTGTGAGGTCCATGAGTTTTAAATAAATAATATATATACACCAACAGGTCAGTGGCCTAGCGGTATCTAGCCCTTACTTCCCAAAGGGAGGGCAGTTATTCAAGCCTCAGTGAGGCATGTGTGTGTGAGTACCAACTAAGAAAATTATATATATATATATATATATATATATATATATATATATATATATATAATTGTAATTGAGCAAATGGTATTAAAAATTTCAAGTTTGATTCTCACCTGATTAAAATTTTGAATTGGGATTAATGATGAGTGTAGCCTGGTTCAAATAACCATGTTCCTGTGTTTCTCTCCAACAAAAATGCCCATGCTCCCACGTTTACCTGTTTTCTCTAGTAAAACACACGGTTTCAATTTTTAGACCACTGTGTTCAATTAAGAGAATGTTTTTGTATTCAGTTTCTTATTAAAGAGAGTGTAAGAGAATGATTTTGTATTTGATTTCTTATTAAAGAAAGCGTAATTGGGAAACAATAGTATTTGGGCTGGAAGAATTATAGTAAAAGAATGAGAACTTGGGAAGGAGATTGTAACGACCTGCCCAAGACCCATGTAGATATTGTTCACTTTGCACACTCTCATCTAAGTGCTCACGGTTTTGCGCAAAATGCATCTACAATCCACGATTACCCCCTCTTAGGACCCAGCATATAAATGCCAAGAACTTCTCCTTCGAGGCGATGTGGGACGTCACAATCACCCCCTCTTAGGACCCAGCATCCTCTCTATCCTGACTCACAAAGGCTAGTGCACGCCCCCCATTGCTGGCTGGGGATGGGCTCTGATACCATTTGTGACGACCCGCCCTACTCCATGTAGATATTGTCCACTTTGCACACTCTCCTCTCAGTCCACGATCTTGCTCAAAAGTCAAAACGCGTCTACACGGTTAAGGGATGTCCATACATATATATGTCATGAACTTCTCCACCCCCAACCGATATTGGACATCACAATCACCCCCTCTTGGGACCAAGAGTCCTCGCTGGCTTGACTTGCGTCGGCTTATGCATACCCCCTATTTCCAATTTGGGCTTTATGTCACGCCCCGCCTATGGAGGTTGTGCCACGCAGGCGACACGCAGACGCTGAGGACGCTGCATGGCAACTGCATGGCAAGTGGAGTTTCTAGAGTCTTCTGGAGTAGTCTAGAGTTCTGTGGAAGATTCTAGATATGTGTAGTATATTCTAGAAGTGTGTGGAAGGTTCTAGAATTCTCCAGAATTGTGTGGAGTAATATGGAGGGTTCTAGAATGTTGTAGATATGTATGGATATGTGTAGAAGGTGGAAGAAGATTCTAGAGAATCAATCTCCACCATTGGTTAGAATGCATCCTAGCCATCCATTAGGGATGGGAATGCCTATAAATAGGAGTAGGACTTCATTTTATAACCAACAAGTCCTAGAGTGAGTCTTGAGAGCCTTGTAGAGAGCTTGAGTGTTAGCCCTGTACAAAGCATTCTTTGAAGTAATAGAAGTGTTCTTTCCTTGCCAACTTAAGTGCCTTAGTGTGTGTGAGTGTGCAAGCCAAGTGAGGAGAGGGCGAGGGCAACTACAACACTAGTAAGCGCACGAGGGAAGTGTGTTGGCTAAGGTGTGCACGGGAGTTAGGCTGACCAAGTACTTGCAAGAGTGAAAGCAACGTCTTGGTGCCGCACGGGAGCAGCTAGAGTGGTGCTGAAACTCTAAGCCTGTGACAGTTGGTATCAGAGCAGGTTCGTCAAGGGAGCTTTGTTAGAGTAGACATGGCTATCGGAGGAGACCACCAAGTCCACATCTTAGAGCAGAGCTTGGAGGAGAAGCTTGCCACACACTTGGTTTACACGGAGACTAAGTTTAATAAGCTCGAGAGAAGGATGGCGGAGCTCTGCGAGCTGATTGATGGCATCGCCAACAAGGCGCAAGAGAAGGAAAGGGACTTGCATGATCTGGTAGACGACTTGCGCGTAGAGATTGCCGAGTGCAAGAAGGAGTTCTCCCAGGCGCGCGAGGTCGTGGTGAAGCCAAGGAAGAAGAAGGCGCCGGAGCCCAAGGAGTACGATGGGGCGAGGAATGCGCGCCAGATTGACAACTTCTTCTGGCACATGGAGCGGTACTTCGAGTGCATGGAGATCGAGGATGATGAGGAGAAGGTGCAGACAGGCACTATGTACCTCACAGACACCGCCGCTCTATGGTGGAAGCAGCGCTTCACCGGTAGGGGCGCAAGAGCAGTTGATACATGGGAGGAGTTCAAAAGGCAGCTCAAGAGGCAGTTCTACCCTGAGTGCGTTGAGGACCTCGCCATGATCAACCTAAGGCGCCTGAAGCAGAAGGGCAGCATAAGGGAGTATGTGAGGGAGTACTCCAACTTGATGCTGGAGATCCCAGAGATGCCGGAGTGGCAACGCGTGTGCTTGTTCATTGATGGGTTGCAGTCTTGGGTAGCCACAGAGTTGAGAAGGAGGGAGCCTAGAGATTTGGCATCCGCAATGGCTATAGCGGAGCGCCTTGAAAACTTTAGGCGCGATGACAAGAGGGCCACGTCTCCCAGGAGGGACCACGACAAAGGTGGGGGAGACCGTCGCTTCAAGAAAAGGGGCTCGCCCAAGTCAAGTGATGATGAGCACAGCGATGAGGAGAGACCCCCACGCCATGATAAGGGCAAGGACCATGGAGAGAGGTCTAAGGCTAGTGGCAAAGGGGAGCGCCGCGATAAGGGCAAGTGGGAGCCGAAGTGCTACTTGTGTGAAGGGCCGCACATATTGCGACATTGCCCCAACAAGAAGACCATGAGCGCCCTTGTGAAGGATAAGGGCAAGGGCAGGGTGGACGATGCGGGCAGCGATGAAGATAGGTGCATGGGAGCTATGCAGATGCTGAGTAGCATGGCGCATGACACCAAGAAGAAGGGCAAGGCAAAGAAGGTAGCTGGGGTGCGCTATGTGGATGCGCAGGTTGGTGGCAAAGCCGTGCAAGCGTTGGTAGACACGGGCGCTACACACAACTTCATTACCCCGGAGGAGGCGCAACAACTTGGCTTGGAGATGCGCAAGACGGAGGGCTGGATCAAGGCCGTTAACTCCGAGGAGGCACGCGTGAGTAGAGTGTGCAAGGAGGTGGAGCTATGCATGCAAGGATGGAAGGGCAAGGCTGACTTCCAGGTTGCGGAGATGGACGACCACGACATGGTGCTGGGGCTGGAGTTCATGGACAGGAACAACGCCGCGCCACTACCATGCCTTGGTGCGTTGATGATACTTGGAGGCGAGGAAGGCAAGGCCGCATGCATGGTGCCGCTCGTGGGCAGGAAGGAGAGTCCAGAGGTGGCAGTCAACACGATGGAGCTCGTGAGGACTTCACATCTCCCAAAGGGCGCTCATACGTTTGGGCCAAGGACATATGCGCAAGTGCTGATGACCTGCGAGAGGCTGGGTCAGCTGAAGACACCGTGACGAGGGCGTCACGGAAATGGGTGGGGGAGAATGTCACGCCCCGCCTATGGAGGTTGTGCCACGCAGGCGACACGCAGACGCTGAGGACGCTGCATGGCAACTGCATGGCAAGTGGAGTTTCTAGAGTCTTCCGGAGTAGTCTAGAGTTCTGTGGAAGATTCTAGATATGTGTAGTATATTCTAGAAGTGTGTGGAAGGTTCTAGAATTCTCCAGAATTGTGTGGAGTAGTATGGAGGGTTCTAGAATGTCGTAGATATGTATGGAGATGTGTAGAAGGTGGAAGAAGATTCTAGAGAATCAATCTCCACCATTGGTTAGAATGCATCCTAGCCATCCATTAGGGATGGGAATGCCTATAAATAGGAGTAGGACTTCATTTTGTAACCAACAAGTCCTAGAGTGAGTCTTGAGAGCCTTGTAGAGAGCTTGAGTGTTAGCCTTGTACAAAGCATTCTTTGAAGTAATAGAAGTGTTCTTTCCTTGCCAACTTAAGTGCCTTAGTGTGTGTGAGTGTGCAAGCCAAGTGAGGAGAGGGCGAGGGCAACTACAACACTAGTAAGCGCACGAGGGGAGTGTGTTGGCTAAGGTGTGCACGGGAGTTAGGCTGACCAAGTACTTGCGAGAGTGAAAGCAACGTCTTGGTGCCGCACGGGAGCAGCTAGAGTGGTGCTGAAACTCTAAGCCCGTGACATTTAGCTCTAATACCATTTGTAACGACCTGCCCAAAACCCGTGTAGATATTGTTTGCTTTGCACACTCTCCTTTTGGTGCTCACGGTTTTGCTCAAAATGTGTCTACATGGTTAAAGGGTTTCCACACATATAAATGCAGCCCACCCCCCACCCCCCCCTGCGCGCACGCGCCTTACAAGTGATGTGGGATGTCCCAGAGACTCTTACTGAAATTATTCTGTGAACAGGCAAGTATATCTCCTCTGTACTTTAATTTCAATTGTGTAGTATTCGAATTTAAAGGATCAGATTGAGATAAAAGCATGAAATTAATCTGGTTCAGTTTGTGAAATTATTTACGTTCATTGGATTTACGCACATACATTTATATGCGTATTGATAGGGTGTAGAGAGTCATAAATGGAAAGAAAATATATGTATACATGAGGCTTGCTTGAATTACATTGGGTTTCGAACACCAGCTACTGTTAAAACATATAAATGTATTTAATAATATTACTTAGTACAACTAGGAGGAAAACATGGCTTATAAGATATGTATGAGTATATACATGTTGGAGGTTATTACATGAGACTGAAAGATTTTAGTTGAACTACTTCTACTGTTATTGCATGAGTTTAGACAATAACCTTGTATGTCATTACTGTTAAATTTGGGTTGTCCATACACCATGCATGCAAGTCTACCGTTTGGGATTTACACCGAAACCATGTTATGTATAAACTACATGCCATGTCATACATTTCCTCATTGTTATGGAAATGAAATATTAAATATAAATTCCTGTATCACATTATCACGTGGTTCATAGGTATTTCGACTGAATACGAGTAAGGTGTGGGGGGAATTATAGATGAAATTGCTCTCTAGCCCAATATGATTGGATAGAACAGGTTACTTTTAACTAATCTTATATTACATGGATGGCTGGAATTATCTGTGTTGGTGGCGACTTGGATAAATGGCAATTATTGTGAGTTGAAAACTAAACCAGTACTTATCAAAAAAAAAAAAAAGAGTTGAAGGCTAAACCAGCGGAAATTAACGTGAAGGGAGGATTGATTCCAAGGCCGGAAACATATTTATACACACACACACACACACACACACACATATATATATGTATACGGGTGTCATAATAAGCTTTAGCCATAACAAAAGTTCGTGGGAATTGAAATTAGGTGGAATTTTACTTATTTTAGAACTTTGGTTCGTTTGAAACATATATAGGATTTGGAAGTGAAAACCTTTGAAACTGATCGTGTGAATAGGGAGTTCAGTGTAAACGTGTGTGTGTGTATACATGTAGATACGTCAATCGGAGAAACCAAGTTTCAGAACTCTCACTAACTACAATAAATTACTGAAATAAAATTTATATGGAACGAAGTTAGGTATAAGCAACGATGTTGGGGAATTTAATTAATTGTTTACCTTTGAAAGGGATTCGTTCCTTACCCAGAAAAGTTGATTCATTCCTTACCTATTATTGGAAGGTTGGATTCGTTCCTTACCTTTTGTTGAAAGGTTGGATTCATTATTTACCTATTATTAGAAGGTTGGATTCATTCCTTACTTCTTATTGAAAGGTTGGATTCGTTCCATCCTCATGTTGAAAGGTTGGATTCGTTCTTACCTCTTATTTAAAAAGGTAGGATTCGTTCCTTACCTATGGGTTGGATGCGTTCCCTACCAAGGAGTATGAATTAAAAAAAATAAAGTTTTGTAAGGTTAAGAATACCTTAAATATTAAACAAGAGAACTATTTTCTAATGAATGAAACAAAGGTGTTAGAATTTGATGTTATCACATGCACATTAAAATAATGTATGTTATTGGTATGTTAGTATACAGTCGTATTAAAGTATAGTAAGAGTTTGCTTGTTGATTTGTGAGCTCACCCTTTATTTAACATTTTAAGTAAGGCACCTATGGAGCGGATTTGATACTTAAGTGGATTATCATCATATTTATTTTATCCATACTTTCTTTATTTTGTTTGAGGAAATTGTATGCGAGAAATAATATAATTATGGACATGTGTCCCCTGTTATTAGTATCGTTACTGATGAGAATAATTTGTAAGCCTTTGAGGTGGTAAATGTAAGAGTTGATTTTATTCAATTATTGATAATTCATCATTATATTGCATAGAATGGTGGTTTATGCGAGATCATGGGTGAATGATAATTTTAATCGCGCCAAGGGTTGAATGTTGGACTAGTTGTCCTTAAAGTTGAAATTGGGGCATGACGATACTTACAATAGTGAGGAAGAGAGGTGTGGTTCACATTGAGGGTAATGTTAGGGAAAGGGAAAGACTAAAAAACTAGCATGGGTTGTGATAGGGGAAAAATGACAGCTTGTAGTTTAACTACAACTATGGCATTAGATAATGCTCAATGATGAGGATTTATGTAACTCACCACAAATGGTTAGGATACTGCTTTGTTAAGTTAATGTGTATCCTACAAAACAATCAAATTACAACACATATTGATGATAGATAGCATCTTGATGGTAAATACATACTGTGCCATATTTTGATGAGATGCTTGAATCCATGAATTTATTGAATAACTAAAAGGAAGGTTGGTGAAATTTTAGAAAGTAAATGCAAGTTGTCATGGGGGGTCTATTGTTCATATTTATCTATAAACTAATTGCACAATATTTTTTTCTCACTAATAAAATAACCTTTAACAAAATTGCTTCTAAAGATTGCCTTGGGTTGTTAAAACTTCATTACACAGTGTTGGTCTCACTAATACAGGATGCTGGAGGGGCTGCATTAGATACAGGATTAACTTTTGACATTATTTGTACAAGTGGGTTACTATCAGGCTCTAGTCCGCTTTCCCATTCTTGACAACTTGTGCTTTTAATTTTGCACCAAGCAATAACCTCTATAAAGACTGCGTTACTGCAAGTTTTACGAGAAGTTTCATGCCATTCTAAGGGTAATCTGATGACAACTTTATTATAAAATAATGTTCATCTAGTTATGTAGAAATCTCATTACTTTGGTCTACCCATACATGCTTGAAGTTGAATAAGAGGTTTCAAAGCTGAATAGTTTAATCGGAATATTTTATGCATCCACTAATAATTATTCCTTCATTTGTTAGGTCAGTCAGGATAGTAGACTACCTGCTGAGTTTGAAATCACTGATTTCTGTCTTCCATGTGGATCGAACAAAAAAAACATATTGGCTGTTCAAGTATATAAATTTAGCGACGGTTCTTACCTTGAAGATCAAGATCAGTGGCGGTTATCTGGCATCCATCGCGATGTGCTTCTTCTGGCCAAGCCAAAGGTTAGTTTTCTTTTCAGTTTTGTCCTCGTAGGCAGGGACTAATGCTAAGCTTTTAAAATAAATAAATAAAACAAGTGTTAGCTTTTATTGTGACTGATGTCAAAGAAAAGTATTATATGAGAATCCTAAAATAATATGCAACAGGCAACTTTATTAAATTGGCTGATAGCAATAAAATGTATTACTTGAGTGATTTTGCTTTATGAACAATGGTTGGCAGTCTGTGGATAGAGTTTAAGATAGAGTTGGTGATGTTGAAGGATTTTCACAACATTGTTCCCTTGGGAGTCTTAACCATATTTCTCCAAGGGCCCCATGATGGACTATTAGGGATTGCGTTTGCAGGATCTTTTTTTTTTTTTTTTTTCCCCTTCCTTTTCCTTCTTTCTTCGCCGACACCCACCCCAATTGCTTTTGGTATCATGAAAGTGAAGGACTCATCATCCTTTCCTATTTATATTGTATTCTATTTCCCCTGCAAGTATCAATTTGTGTAGCTTTTCTCCTCCTTTTAGTAAAACTGGTTGTTTCTTACTTATCAAAAAGTAAAACTGGTTGTTTCTTACCCAAAAAAGAACAGAAAAATCTGACTAGATTCTCACTCTCTGTTGCCACTTGAAATGGGGTTAACCTATTAAAATTTATTTGAATTGACAAGAATTTCTTTCCAGATATTAAGATCATCATAAGAAGTCAATTCGCAATAGTCTGAAACACCATAGCACCCGAAACACATGATACTGACTTTGAACCAGAAACTTCCTGAATTAACAGACTTAATTGCCTATTATAGTCTTGTTGAATGGAATTGTTGGTTAAATTTTGTGATCCCCATCTTCTAAAGGAGTCAATCTTTGTAAAATGTTTGCCTTATAACTTGGGGCCTTGCTGAAAAGAGTCTCTCAGATTTTTCCTTTTGTGTTAAGTATATGAGATTCTCAATCCCAAGTCAGTTTATGAGATTCTCAATCTCAAGTTTAGTAATTTCTTGAGATTAGTTTTGTGTCTTGTGGCCAATTGAAGATGTTATATAATGTAACAACAGGTTGTCGTTACAATATATTGGTGTATTTTCTATAAACTAAAGGTGAGAGATCATTGGTTCTTAAGGATCTCTTCTGATTGGTCTGCATAGCTTTCATTATTTCCCTAACAACAAAAAATTACGAACAAAGATAAAGATTTCACCTCCCTGTAAGACTGGATTTTCTGTGAGGTGTTGGTTGCTGGAGTGAGGTGATTCAGTCACAGTGGCTTAGAATATTGGAACAAAAATCTGTCTATTTGTCACCATCTCTTTGTTGTTTTGGTTATGTGGTAAGTGCAAATGGAATAAAAGTACATGATAGTAAAGTTAAAGCATTCATTGGGGAAGTAATTATTTACTTTATTTAATCGTGAATATTGCTTTGCACACTTAATACTTGCTTGATTTAAATTGAGCTTATGTATTTTCTTGTCGAAGTTTTTTTTTTTTCCCTGTGTTTGTCTATTGTCCATCTTAACTCATACAAGGACAAACTGCAAGTGTATTGCATGATCATAGATTGATGAACCATTTGGTATGCAGGTATTCATTGCAGACTATTTCTTAAACTCAAGCTTGGGGGAAAACTTTTCCCACGCAGATATACAGGTAATGTGGAGTTAATCGAGAGGAATTTTTTCGTTTTCTTTTTCTTTTTCCCTCTTCAAGCAAATAGTCTATGACTATTTATTATGTACTTGTTTTGTGTGAAAGAATTTCATCTGCTGTCTGAGAAGTTTCATTTTATCTACTCTTTATATTATGATGTATCCTTAAGATTAATTTTTTTGATGTCTAGGATTGTGTACTTTAGCTTGACACTGATCAAGCTATAGTAAGAGTTTCAGTGTCAGCTTTTGTTCTTTTCGCTTTCTTTTTGTTCAAGTTGTAAAATATATCTCAGATTAAAATTGTTTAATGTCTAGGATTGTTGGGTCATATGATGGTACCTTCTTATAGATTGAAGTTATTATAGTACTTTAAGGGACTTCTACTTATTAAAGTACTTAGATTCTAGCGGATTTATACTTTGAGAATATTAGGTTTTGTTTAGTTTTAGCACCTTATAAGTGTCTTCTTTTGTATCCTCTTAAAGAACTGGGTTTTTTAAGAGATTAAAGTATGTTATTGTCTCCTTTGCGTCTAATAATTCTATATTGAAAATTCCAAGGCCAAATTTTTTTTTTTCAAGGAGTCATTATGGCATTTCACAATTTCATTTTTTAAATATAAAAAAGCCTCTACTCATGCTTCTTAGGGTTAATTAAATTTCTTTTTCTTTCTTGGTTCCTATATCAGTCTGTCATCATTATCACCTGCTTGTAATATCCACGGAACACAAAATATCATATTGCAGACTATGGAACTATATCCATTTTGTACCCAATTTCAACTTCGCTGTAGTTGATGCATTTTGTACTCATTTCTTCATGGAAGTGCCTGTCTGTAAGATTTTTGCAACAACCTCCTGTGACGTTGATGATAATTTAGAATCAGGTGTTCAAAAATACATTTGTGTGAGCTCCAGGAGAGCTCTTCTAGGAAGAGTGTTTTTGTCTTTTTTATTATACTTGCTGATCATAGGTGCAAGCACCAATTCCATCCATGTGTTCAGAATGACTGTCACATGAAAAGTTCATGATATATTGTGGCTATGGAGCCTATGGTGCTTTTATTAGTCAATACTGATAACATATCTGGCAAATGCATGCAATTTATTCTGTTTTTTCATAATCCAGGTTGAAGTGAAAATTGATAACACAGGAGAAACAAACAAGGATAACATCCTTTCCAACTTCACTATTGAAGCTGCTGTCTATGACAATGGGAGTTGGTATGGCAACGATGGAAATGTTGATCTGCTTTCATCTAATGTGGCTCATTTGGCACTTAGTCAGTCTCGTAGGAGACTAGGATTTCACGGATATCTACTTGAGGGTAAACTGCAGATGCCCAAGCTTTGGTCTGCAGAGCAAGTGAGGAATCTCAGCTCGTTTGGATTTTATTTGAAGTTAACATTTCAGCAGTTTGCATCTTTTTGAATAATAGGTGTCTCCCAAACAAGATTTTGAATAATTTAACTTCCAAGTCTAGGACATATTCACTGCATATAAATTGAATTGGCAAAGTGTCATAACCTCATATTGGTAGTATTTTTGCTCTTCAATTGTATGTTGTGGTTGTATGTTTAAACCTCTTTTCTTTTGAGGTTCTTTTACGCATCCGTTCAATGCTCTTTTCATTTATTGAGTTCTCTAGTTGAATATTATGACCTATTATAATAAGTGTGTGACAAACATTTGGAAAGGACCGAAAAGGTTGAAAATCTGTCATGCTCTGTTAACATGTCCAAAGGATGTAGTTTGAGAAATTATTATTGTTTGGTTTGTCATTTTGTTTTTGAAATATCGTGAGACTTCTTCACACACTGAAACTATTTTACTTTCTTTTTGCTTAAATACTGTCACAATTTATCTATTACTGTTCTTCCACACATTTAGACCTAATTTTGTTCCCATGTTTATTTTGCATTTGCTTCTCTTATCTGTTTACAGCCAAACCTTTATACTCTTGTTATCACCCTCAGAGATGCTTCAGGTGATGTAATTGACTGTGAATCGTGCCAAGTTGGTATACGTCAAATATCAAAAGCCCCAAAGCAGCTACTTGTAAATGGGCATCCAGTAATAATAAGAGGGGTAAACAGACATGAACACCATCCACGTCTCGGGAAGACAAACTTGGAGCCCTGCATGGTTAAGGTTAAGCCTTGTAATTGCTCGCTGCATGCTTACGTTGCAGTTGTTTATTTTGGTTCTGTTTTACTTATGAGATTCTTTTTATTCTTCTGCTTGTAGGATTTGGTTCTAATGAAGCAAAACAATATCAATGCTGTCAGAAACAGCCATTATCCCCAACATCCCCGTTGGTATGAGCTGTGTGATTTGTTTGGCATGTATATGATAGATGAAGCAAATATCGAGACACATGGTTTTAATGAATCTGGACATGCTAAGCATCCAACACTGGAGCCAAGTTGGGCTTCTGCTATGATGGATCGTGTGATTGGCATGGTGGAGAGGGACAAGAATCATGCATGCATTATTTCTTGGTCCTTGGGGAATGAGTCAAGCTATGGACCTAATCATGATGCTCTTGCAGGTCTCAGTTTTTTCATTATTATATCTTTTAGTTTGGACATAGATTAATGAACTGCTAACCACCACATTTTTTCGTAAAGATTTAATAATAGTGTCTGTTTATTTTTCAAGAAATTTATCTGGTGACAAAATAGTTAAACAGCACCATCTGTTTTTGGGAGAAGTGGAAAACAGATCATTTAAATTATTTTGTCGAAGTATGATGTTGAAGCTTCATGCCCATGCCCTTTTGTTGCACTTTCACCTTTATAACTGTCATGGAGAGAATGAATTTTATATTTTGCATTAGACTATATATAATTGTGGTGTTTATTGAGGTATTCTGCATTGTATATTGAAGTCATAGTCATAGACCTAGGCTTCCAAAATCATCCCAAATTTCAGAATTATTGACAAAAAATTAGGAAAAATGGTAAAATGTTCGAAGAAAACTTTAGGTAACGGGAGTCAGAACGAATGAAGCATGCAATGCGGTATTGTAATTGTTCTGGATATAAATTTTACTAATAAATCCAAACAATGCTCAATATTGGGGATATATGTGAGTTATTAATAATGAATTGGATTTTATTTGCTTGTCAACAGTCAGGTATGGGTCATATATTTTCTCAATTATTTAGAATATATAAATTGCAAATTGCTTCCAAGCACACTGTTTTCTTCTCTGGAGTCATTTATCGGTCTGACTTCAAAATTTCAGGTTGGATTCAAGGAAAGGATCCATCAAGGTTATTGCACTATGAAGGTGGGAGGTCCAGAACCTCATCAACAGATATTGTATGCCCTATGTATATGCGGGTTTGGGACATGGTGAAGATTGCAAAAGATCCAACTGAAACACGACCTCTGATATTGTGCGAGTATGTTCCTCTTTCATTGGTTACATTATATTACAACACTAAAACCCATCCTACTTAATTTCTTGGCGACGCGATTCGGTTTGCTCATGGACACTTGACGGACAACTGGCAGGTATTCACATGCAATGGGAAACAGCAATGGAAATATTTATGAATACTGGGAAGCAATTGATTGCACATTTGGCCTCCAAGGAGGCTTTATCTGGGAGTGGGTTGATCATGTTAGTTTTAAAATAGCCTGTAGTTAACAATTTAGAATGTTTCTTGAATTCACTTGATAAAGAGCGCCATAAGCTTATTGTTTAGCCTTTCCAATTTCATTTTTGCACAAACGTCATAAATCATGCAATTTTTTTTTTAAATCTTTGTAGTTGAATGTCTCCAAGTTTTCACAGTATCAGGCCCAGTAAGGTAGGTTTTTCCCATATCTTGATACTGGATGGTGTAGTTTTTTTGCTTTAAAGAACAACCTTAAATAAAATAAGATGAAAGTAGAGTAGATTTTCATTGCAAAGAAGAAAGATAAATAGATTCAGAGATTGCAATGAAATGGTTCTTGCACAGACACCTTACTGACTTTGACCTAAACTAAATATATATTAAGCCCTTCATTGCTTAAGTTTTTTCTGTTTATTCTTTTCTTTCTGCCTGAAAGTTTTACAGATCTCACCTTGTTTTATTTATTTTAATTTCTAAGTGTGTGTGTTTCACTTCATGTGGTTGGGGTGCGGACTCATTGGAAAGTCTATATTTTGCACTTTGCATTCAGGGGCTACTTAAGGATGGTGCTGATGGTAATAAGCATTGGGCATATGGAGGTGATTTTGGTGATACCCCCAATGATTTGAACTTTTGTCTGGATGGCCTTATATGGCCAGATCGAACTCCCCATCCCGCACTACATGGTAACTTGAATACTCCTCTCATATTTTCATAAACCTCCTTCTCAGATAGTGACTGTAGCCCATTCATGGTTCTTTGTTACAGTTGGTATTTATTTTTTTCAGAGATCAAGTATGTCTATCAACCAATTAAGGTTTCATTCAGGGAAGGCATAATTAAGGTACTATCGTATTTCATTCTGCTGTGCTATCTCCTTTATTGAATCCTTGTTATATTGTAACTGGATTTATACTTCGTGGATCATCTACAATGGTTTGTGGATTTTATTTATACAGATCACAAACACACATTTTTTTGAAACAACACAAGCATTGGAGTTTGGATGGACTGTTCATGGCGATGGATGCGAACTTGAATCTGGAATCCTCTCTCTCTCGTCAATAGAACCTCAGGGCAATTATGAGATAAAGTGGGAGTCGGGCCCATGGTATTCTCCTTGGGCTGCTTCATCTGCTGCAGAAATATTTTTAACAATAACTGCAAAGCTTCTGCAATCTAAACGCTGGGTTGAATCCGGTCATGTCATTTCGTCTACACAAGTCCAGTTGCCTGTAAAAAGAGAATTTGTTCCTCACGTAATTGCTCTCAACATATCCCTAGCTTGATATCTGTCAGTCTATCCCTGATTTACAAACAATTATGGTTTTCAGGTCATCAAATCTAAAGATGCCACCTTCCTCAGTGAAATTCTTGGGGATACAATTAAAATCAGCCAGCAAAACGTTTGGGAAATTAAATTTAATTCTCGAACAGGAGGCTTTGAAAGCTGGAAGGTATATTATATCATTGGGTTTTATAAAATTGGCTACTGTTAAATAAAATTTACTGATGGAAAAACTACATGTAAAATGCGTTTCTGATGTTACTTCAAATTAAGCTATGGTAAAAGTTTTGCCACTATTTCTGTCTTCAAATATTATGATATTGTGATATATTATAGGTTGAAGGATTTCCCGTGATGCATGAAGGCATATTCCCGTGCTTTTGGCGAGCACCAACAGATAATGACAAAGGGGGAGATGCAAATAGTTATTTCTCGAAGTGGAAAGCTGCCCATCTTGATAATGTGTTTTTTCTTACTGAAAGTTGTTATGTTCAGAATATGACCGATGATCTTGTGAAGATAGCAGTTGTCTATCTTGGTGTGCCAAAAGGTGAAGAAAGTTCTTCTTCATTATCAGAAAACTTAAATGTCCTCTTCCATGTTAATATGACTTTCTCAATCTATAGTTCTGGAGATGTCATTATAGAATGCAATGTAAAACCAAGTTCTGATCTTCCGCCTTTACCACGCGTCGGGGTTGAATTCCATCTGGACAAATCAATGGACCATATTAAATGGTATGGTAGAGGACCATTTGAATCTTACCCTGATCGAAAGGCCGCTGCCCACGTGGGGGTGTATGAGCAGAATGTCAGTGACATGCATGTTCCTTATATTGTTCCTGTAGAATGTTCAGGTAGGGCAGACATAAGGTGGGTGACATTTCAAAATAAGGAAGGTTTTGGAATTTATGCTTCCATATATGGTGATTCTCCACCTATGCAAATGAATGCAAGTTACTACTCCACTGCTGAGCTTGACCGTGCAACACACAATGAAGAACTTAACAAAGGAGACAATATTGAGGCAAGTGTTTCTTTAAAATTTTGGTTTTTGTCAAACTAATTTTTTTCATTTTGAAAGTTTCTGCACGAAATATCCTGAAAAAGAATAGAATATCTTGGGTATGAGGTTCAATTTAACTTTATAATTAGAAAATTTGTAGTTGTTTAAGATCTTTAATTAGGAAAGATGCCGAGTAGAGAGCAGAGAGCTTTAGGCCAATAGTAGGCTTCACAAATTTGGATCTTATATATTCTGTTTTTCTTTCTAATACTACATAAAGGAACACTGCCCAGTTGTGGTCTGGCTACAGCAGGCTTTAAGATGACAGAGTTCAATTGATGGACCGATACAACTTGAATACTGGAGTGAAGGTGACACAATTTGTTTACCATAAGCTCTTTTTGAACTCGTACAGCAATGGCATGGTTTCCCAAAAGAGTCTCCTCATTTTTTATGGCAAACTGCATATGCACCCTACCATGAATGTTCTTGTATCAAATGCTTTTTCATTTAGATACGTCTGTGGCTTAATTAAAGCATCTAAAGTTGATGAATCTCACCTTGTCACTCTGATCCATGGCATGTAGCTGGATCCTGATTAAATTGGGGGTAACCAAAAATCCACCAACTTTATGTTGCTTCTGAGGTAAAATGAATTGCAAATAAGCAAAAGATGGAGCAGATGCAACAAAAAGTTAATAAGGCTACCTTTTCATTATAGCCAAGTTTATGCTTGCTGGACGACCTAATTTAGGCTCCTTAATTTGACCGAGTATATGAGTTGAAATCCTTGTAAAATAATATGGATTCGAGGGAGAAATAATAGAAGGTAACTCATTATGGCATCCTCTTAGCTCTCTTTATTCAATACAGGGTTCTTGCAATGGTACTGGAACACTCGAATATTTGGGCATATTATTGCAGAAGCATGCTTATACATTACTAAGAGCAGAATGTCTCTTGTCAATGGAAGGTGATAACTTTAAAAGGATTGAAACCCATCTTACCAATTGAAAGAAAAAGTATCTGATCATGATAGAAGAATTGCTACAATATTAATCCAATCCAAAAGCATGCTAACTTTCCCATCTAAAAACCTTCGTGGAATAATTGTGGTCAATGTGGGGAACACTAGGATCATCTGGTAGATTGGCAACTGTGTCTTGCATTAAGACTTGGGGGGATTAGGTATTGGTAGTGGTTTTCCTTAAAAGAAACTTTGCTCCAGCTGGCAAGTGGTTGGAGAGATTTTTGAGGGAACCTTATAGCCTATGGAATTTGGTGACCAACGGCTTATATTGTTCCCACCCAAATATTGAGATGCTAAACCTGGAGAAAGGGACTCCAACCAGGTAGCTGCCTTTTTTATCCTGTGTTTTGCTAGATGTTAGCTCCAGTGATTAAGAGTCAGATCATGGGAGAAGCAGTAATGCTGCGATAGCCCCATTTTTTATTTTGTTTTTTCTGCTTTTACTGTCCTTTGTCCATATTGAGGAAGAGAAGGTGATCAGAGGAAAGGTTGACGACACACTACTGAATTGGTCTGCTCCTTCACGGTTTCACCTTGTCATATATTTATCAGACATAAGACAAATACAATAATACCTCGAGGGTAGTATAACCAAAGGAAATAATAACTCTAACAGATATAAAGGGGGACTCTCTTGTAATTTCTACTATTTCTATAGGGATACTCATGATCTGAAACATCCCTCAAACATTTTTTTTTTTCTTGAAGATGCTTAAATTTCCCTCTCAGGATTGTTTAACCACCTAAACCTGATGCAAATTTGTAGTGATTATTTGAAATAGTCAAACTTTCCTTTCTTTTCGGTGTTACCCTAATTAAATGCTCTCACTTGGCTGGTCGCTTATGAGAGATTAACAGGATATATGCTTCAAAAGGAGGAAATATGGATTCCTAATCCATTGTATTTTCTGTATGGAAGGCGGAAAAAAAAAATAAAAAAAAATAAAATAAAATTTAACAGTGCATTACGTGTTGTATAACAGTAATTTGGATGTATTTCTCTACACCTTGTCCATCAAGATTGGAGAAAATTACTATCATCCTCCCCATGATTCTGTTGTAAATTTGGTTTTTGGAACCCGGAAAGTTATAATTTAATGTTGATGGTTGTCTCTAAGAAATCCAGGGTATATGTCAGGACGCATAAGGAGGGAAACATCTTTGGTTCTTTTGGCCCTTTATATTTGTAACACAGTCGAGGCAGCGGTAGAGATTTATGAATGGACCTTAAGGAGTTCCATTTTAGGTCTTTTGAGGTTGGAAGATGACAAAGCTAACATCACCAGGTGCACAAAGTTCCATACCACCTGTCATCTCTTATAAAAGAAGCCATGAACGTTTTGAGTGTGGTGGTTGTTCCTTCACATGGTTACTTACATCAGGCAACTCTATAGTGGATTCAAAAGCTAAAAGAGGAGCTACTTTAAATGAATTCTACGTTAATGGCTCATGCTTGTGATGATTATTGCTAGTTTCAGGCTATTTATTTTGTACCTCAAGATAAAAAAAATTTACAAGGAAAACATTCTTCTCCATTTGCTTCTTATTTTTGCTTGAAACTCTTCACCTTTTACTTTAGTTTCGCTCATTTTCTTAAGATTGTCAAACTTTTATCGCTATTTCAATGCTCCTGTTGCCTTTTCTTTGGTTGGTAAGGTTGTCGGTTGTTTCAGTACTGTTTGTTCAATGGCCTAGTTTTCTTTATTTCTCTATTTCTTTTTCTGGTCATCTAGTTGGTACTCTCCATCTTTCTTTGTGACCTAGGTATATTGTCATCGCGGTGTTGCAGGTGCATCTTGACCACAAGCACATGGGTTTGGGCGGAGATGATAGCTGGACCCCCTGTGTCCACGAGAAATATCTGATTTCTGCCGTGCCATACTCATTTTCTTTCAGGCTGTGTCCACTCACTGCAGCCACCTCTTGCCATGACATCTACAAATCACAGCTTGAAAAGAAAACAGCATGATGTATGAGCCTCATATCAGCATATTATCTATGTATCTCATGTTGTTTTCTGAACTCTCTATGACTTGCACCATTCCAAGGTTTCCGAGGTTCACATGTAAGGCTTCTTCTTTCAGGATTCATATAGGAGTTCGAATCCCCCCTGGGGCCATCCCCAAGGAATTTTCCCGGTGGTACATGTGGGACAAGGAGACTATATGCGCCCGGTGGTGCATTATGGGTGTTCTAAGAGGCCTGATGTAATACCCCGATAATTTTAAAAGATTTATTAATTAGGATTAATTATTTTATTTTATTTTTCAATGATTTATTTTATTTTATTGAGTGCTAGATTAATTATCTTATTTTAATTAAGTTATATTTCGTGATTATGTATGATGATTGATTGTTTGTGTGGTTGATTATTGATTGAATTATTGGTGTGTTGATTTTATTGGTATTATATGACTTAGTTGTAAATTCTTGTTTGTTTATGTGCTTCATGTAATTAGTTATTTTAATTTCTGTATTTAATTAATTATCTTATTTATTTAAATTAATTGGATTGGGCTTAAGGAAAGTTGGACCAAAAGATGTGGTCTTGGGCTTGTATGAAACCTTATTGGGTTAATTAATGAAGGTCCGTGGTTATTTAATTATTTAAATGATCACTTTTGTATCAATTATATATATATATATATATATATATATATATATATTTATTGATATTTATAAGTATATATGATTTAATTAACTAATGAGTTAATTATGGAAGGAATATATATTTATATATATATATATGTTTATAGATATAAATTATTTAAAGATTATTATTTTAATTCATAATACTAGTTGGAATAGGATTTGGAATTTAAGGTGTATAAAAATACATATAAGGCTTTAGGGTTAAAGGTTTTACACGTTAGAAAAATAAAACAGACAGAGAGAGAGGAAGAAGAAGGGCTGACAAGGAGGAGGTCGGATCTGAAAAGGAGGACGTCGGAATTGGAAGAGATAATTAAAGCTTAAAGCGTCGATTTCGTTTCGAAACCTTCAGGCGAGTTTTCTCTAACTTTCCTCTTAGAACTCATAAGGATTTCACCTTGAGTATCAAGGCTTTAATTAAATTTATTTGTTTAAAAATTATGGTTAGATCGGAATAATTAAAAAGTATAAACTATTATATTTGATTTTTAGATTATTGGATTTTAATTGATATATATAGGTGTTATGTATATTTTAAAATCAATCTATAGGTGGATTTGTGACCCAAGAGAGTTAATTATGGTTTCTTTATTTTCTAGAATTGTTCTGTAATTTTCTGGAATTTTTCTGATATTTTTAGGAATTTATTAGGATTTATTTTCCTATTATTTGTTAGGAAAATAATTATATATATATATATATATATATATATATATATATATATATACTAGGTAACTGGCGCATGTGGAGCGGCGGCACAATAAAGAATTGATCCAGTGCGGCGCGGTGTAGGATAATAGGGTGTATACGCCAATTAGGGCCATTTGATTAATTAAACTTATGTGAATTGATATGGTGCATCGCGGCGCATAAAACTTTGGTGCGCATGTGTATCTGGACCATAAAAGTGGTCTGGTCAATTATGGGATTATTTGGTGTATTGCAGACCATGAGAAGATGGTGCACTCGCTGATCTGGACCTTAGATCTATTATAGTTAATAGAAAATAATCTAGTGTGAGCGTGTTCATTTGCGCACTCATTTATGACCATTGGATGCGGCATAAAGGAAGTGATGGATTCAGTGTGGTGAGCTCACGGTAGCTGAAAGAGCTTAGCCAATACCAGCACACAAGGAGGCTTGAATCCAGCGCGTGCAAGTGCATAGTAAGCACGTGGGCACGCGTGGGAAACTATGTTGGCCTAATTCGACACTAGAAATTAAAACGGTCATAACTTAGTCATTTTAAATCGAAATTTGGGTCATTCTTGAGCTCAAATTCAAGGATTTTTCGTCTTCTTTCCAATGGTACCAATTTCATTATCAGATTCCCATCCTACTAGGAGATATTTATGTTTTAGTGAGAAAGTGTCGGAAAACTATTTAAACCAATATGGAGTATTTAAAGGAAACTATTTCTGACATATTTAGTTGCACTAATTTGTGTAAATATAATAAATTAATAATTTGTTATGGAAGGAAGTGTGTATATATATATATATATATGTATGTATGTATGTATGTATATTGATTTTAAAAAATCAAAGATTATTAAAGAAGGTGTTAAACACATATATACATTAAATAACATATGTGTAGGTATATATATATATAAATCATTTAAGATGATTAATATTATCATTCTTATTTGGCATATCTTAATAGGCTGGTTGTTAAATTAATGATATGCGTATAATATGCATGTGATGGCTATGTATGATTTAGCGTATTGTTAATTTTAAAGTTAATTCATGGTTAAAGTGTGGGCATGGATGAATTGTCAAATGATTAAATATATTACCTAAATATTTGTATGAATAGAATACATATATGGAAAGCATGGATGAATTGCTAATTAAATGTATGAATAAATATACCTGTGGAGGCATGGTTGAATTGCCAATGTATAAATATACATACACGGAGGCATGGTTGAATTGCCAATGTATAAATAAATATACTTATGGAGGCATGGTTGAATTGCCAATATATAAATAAAAATATTTACAATGGCATGGTTGATTTGCCAAAGCATAATTACGTTGTTATGTGTTAGATGATTAAAATATCATCTATGGTTGTTGTATGTATGGATTGGATTAGGGTTAGATATTCTTAAATGAGAATAGTTTAGTACTTACTGGTTAGTGTATTATTTTACATTAATAAAATAATATTGGGGAAGACGTGGATGATTTGTCAAAACTTGGATTTTGGATATGTGATTTAAACAATTAAAATCATTATCGGGTTGGGATTAAATAGAGTATTTCTTTTATTATAATTTGTTGTTTAAATGATTAGACAACTGACTAGGATGGGATTAAGGTCAAAGGAGTTTTTATAAAATGAAATGGTAGATTGGTCTAGGTATGAATATTATTTTAATAATTATTTAATAGGTATGGAAATTTAATAAACCTATTAATGGATGTGATTAGTATAGTATATATAATTATATATAGACATGTATATCGTGCTTTATTAAAGTTAAAACTTTATTAGGTTTGGTTTTGATCAGAGATGATCTGCTTATTGATTTTCAGAGGCCTGGTAGAGTGAACTTACTCGTAGAGTTTAACCCACGATTTATTTTTCAGGTTATTAGAGGTTCCAGTCTCGAGGTTGAGGATCCGCAGCTGGGAGACTGTCATTCGTCTATTCATCTTGTGTACTTTTAAATAGTATTGGATTATTGGATAATGTTTTAAGGGGTCCTTGAGTTATGGGATTTTTGAATTGTAATTGTTGGAGAATCATTAAGTAATATTTATTTATTAGTTTTCTTCAGCGGTTTATTTATTCTTTATTATTCATCTTTGTATTCTGTGCTTGTTAAATACTTAAATTGTTTTGATATCCCTTGTTTTTGTGCGCGGACTTGATCAATCCGTGTTCCAAAATTAGGGGGTATCACACCTGATGCCACCATCAACTAACAATATATATATATATATATATATATATATATATATATATAGGAGGCTTCTTGTATGGAAATGTATTTGTGGCTACTGTTGGTTTCATTAGGATGATTGGTGTGCTTGCTATTTTGATGGATAGTTGATATTTGTAAGGTTGTACTTTATACATCGTCTAAACTTAAAAAAGATTGGTGTGTGGACCTTCCGAAAAAATAAAGGAAGAAGAGGAAAAGAAAAGAAAAGATCAGATCGGTGTGTGTTATAAAGACTGAAATTATAGATGGATTACATTTCTTGAGTTAAACTACTTGGTTAAGTAAAGTGGTATATAAAAATTGTGTTCAATTAATACTTAAATTTTACAAATTTCTTTTATAGTTAGTTATTTAATTCATTCAAAATATCCTATTAGAAAAAAAATTATTTACCTTTAATGGAGCAATCACAGAAGGAAAACTTACCCATATGTGTATTTAGGACTCAATTTAAAGTGGTATTGAAACTTTTAAAAAATTAAAAACTCTTTTTCTTTTTTCTTTTGCAATGGCAAGTAATTTACGTATTTACTTTTGTCCTTAACGAAAATTCTCCTCCTTTCATTTTAAGGATATACCACGTAAATGCCTTTGATTAATAAAATTTGCAGTTCAATGCATAAATTATAAATTAAATATTTATAGTAACGTATGAAGAAACTATAGTAGGTTGCTGGAACTAGAAGAAACATGCGCTCGTTTTTGGAAGTTACTAGATTGCCTCGCTTGTTCCAAGGTGGATCTGCTAGATCTGCAAATCCGTATCGTGGCCCATCGATATTCTTGGATGATGATTCGGTTCGAAGAAGAAGAGATGATCTTCGGTCGTGTCTGGTTGGGAAATTTGATAAGGAAGTGGGTGATGGGGCTCAGATCGCAGCTTGGGCCTCGCGTACTTGGAAGGTATCCTCAGGTGTAACGGTTTCGACTCTGCCGGATTCCTTACTGCTTTTCCGGTTCCCCTCCTCGACTGAAGCCTCTCGTGTTCTCAAAGGGGGTCGCCGTGACTGGGGAACGACATCTCTGTGTTTGGAGGCTTGGAGTTTTCGGGTAGGGTGCTCGGATGAGTTGAAAGAGAAGGGGCTGAAGAAGGTAACGCTGTACGGTCTTCCTCTCCACCTTTGGAGTCATGCTCTGTTCGTGACAGTCGGCGATCTTTGTGGTGGGTTTATTTGGGTGGATGCTGATGAAGCTTTGGATGCTGAACGAGTTCGCATCATCGTCTCTGATGGTCGAAGTTGCCCTCCGTTTGTATTCATTCACGATGAACAGTTTTGCTATAAAGTGTTTATTTGGGAGGAGAAGCCTCCCGAGCTTGTCCCCACGACTGATAGCTTGGAGGGCAGTGATGGTTCGCATTTGCTCAAGGAGAAAGAATGGTTACGGTGGGAATCCATGGGGAAAAAAAGAATGGCTGAATTTCAGAGGTGGGAAGAATGGAGAGATGCGCTATGGATACGTAATTTCGAATGCTTTAAACGGATTTTCAGACGTTGCAGAGGGGAGGAGGTCTCGCCGGAAATGGTCGTCGGCCTTTTGTGCAGCAACGGGATCATTCAAGACGATGCGGTGTTCTTCACGCCTTTCAGGCGCGTGGGAGGGGGTGGTTTCCTGATCGTCCACGTGGTTGGCGTTCAGGCCCTATACGTTCCCAGTGGAGAACAGCTGTTCCCACGATCATTTCA